GAGTCTAGGAAGATAAGAATAAAAAAAAAAAAAATAAATAAAAAATAAATAAATAAATAAATCCCCCCCCCAAAAAAAAATAGCCAATGGTGTAGAGGAAAGGCAGGGAGACCTCCTGAGAAGCGCACATGCGGGAACATAGTGCCTGCGTCATCTGAGACATGTGAGGCGCATGCAGTGAGATCTGTCTTCCCCTGCCACACTGGCAGAGCTAAAGAGCACCAGGCTAGTGATGGTGATAGGGGGAATCATGTTGTGTGCTCCTAACGGGTGAATTGTTGAGTACTTGAGCCTGCATGGTGGTAGCACACACACAGGAAGAAGAGGTGTGACTGTCCCGTGACCTGCAGGCCCACCTGAGGCATTTCACTGAGCTACTGAGGTCAACCCCCCCCCCCCAATGCGCAGAGCTGGAGATGCAAGGGCGTTGGTGGCAGTGGTGTTCATGAGAGTGAAACACCATTCATTCCCGGCATGGCGTTGCCTGTGAGGTATCCTGTCCAGTTCCACACCCTGAAGACTCGATGGACAGACCACCCCAGAGTGGGGTCGGTCTCAGCAAATGCTGGAGAGAGCCGGGTGGAGGAAGAGTGGGGTGCCATGGGAGGAGGGCTGAGCTGAGGCCTGAGTAGGCAGGGGCCGGGCAGTGAGGGTTGGAAGGAGACGAGGCGCGCTGTGGAGGACTTAAGTTTTGGCACCTTCCGGTTGAAGGCTGAGGTGTGAGCTGACCACAGCCTTCTGCGCCAGGTCCTGTGGGTGCTTTTACACCAGGTGGAGGTGTGTTTTCCTGGAGAAAGTGGCTTATGAAGGTGATGCCGCCGGGTGGCATGTGGGTTGTATGAGCAGATACAGAAGCAGGAGGCCAAGTGAATGTCCACCAGGAAGCACTGGTCCAGTGAAATTTTGTACAGAGCTGGACACACTGGTGTTTGCTTGCCCTGCTCCTTGGGCGGCTGAAGCAGGAGGGTTGCTTGAGCTTGCTTGCACCCAGGAGTCCGAGCTCAGCCCAGTCTCAAAGGAACGCTGTGGATGCAGGAAAACAGCAGTTTGCTTCTCTGCAGAAGTGGAAGCGTAGCACTGGCATTACTGAGTAATCGAAGCATGTTACGGGGTAACGTGTGGCATATCTCTTGCTGCCTGTGTGAGTAATTTGGGACTGTGCTTGCGGACCTGGCTGGGCCTTCAGAGGAGCACTCTTCTTGTTATGTACAGCTTATAGCTGGGCAGTCTGTATTTAGTTTTTATGATGCTGAAAATTTTGTTAGCCTTCCACTCTAGCTCTGTCCTGAGACCATTTTCCTTCCATTTCCCAAAGTTGATGTTGGAGAATAATTTTGTCTTTGGTAGATGCATCCTAGAATTGATATTCTATTTGTTTATGTGGTTTTGCTGCCTGATACTGCTTTTGCATTGAACACTCACAATATTTTACTCTTTTACGTTGCACTATTCATGCCATCAGGTATTTTAAAAATTATTAATTTTCCAGCTCAAGGGCCAGGAGATGGCTTAGTGGAATAAGTGCTTCCCTAGCAAGCGCAAGGACCTGAGTTCAATCCCTGGTTCAAAAAAAAAAAAAAATTTTCCAGCCCTTTTTAAGAAAAATGTATTATTTTCACCTTGCTTCTTTCTTTTCTAGAATGAAGAATTAAGTATCTTATATCCAGCAGCCATTGTGACCATCGATGGATTTAGCCTTTTTCAGTCTCTCCGCGCCTGTAGAAACCAGGTAGCAAAAGGTACTTTTTTTGGCAGGAAGTATTTCACTTGTTACGATGTTACTTGGTTGGCTGTGGCCTACTTACGGGACTAATCCTGTCTTCATCTACTGAGGACACGAGGGTGCGCTGCTGGGGCTGCGCAGGGAGCAGCAGGGCCAAGACTCCATGGCACACCAGATACTGGGTGGGGAGGGCGGCCGCAGCCAGGGCTTCCTTCACCAGCCCCGTAGGGCGCCTCACAGGGGAAGGCCCGCCCCTGTGGGGATGGCCAGAACCAGTGGGGACCGCACTGCGCTGCTACAGCCCCGCTGAGCAGCACCTGTCAGCTGTGTGCCACAGCCCTGTGGCTGCGCTGCTCCTCCCCACGCATCCAGGCGTCCTCTGTGTAGGGCACGTCCTTTCCTTGGGCCAGGCGCAGCCCAGCACAAGTCAGCTTCAGCCTGTGCCGCCCGCCTGGAGCCCTCGAGAGGCCTGAGCGTAACCCGTGTCCCAGGTACTGTGCGGTTGGGAGTGCAGACTGCACAGCTAACGAGGAGTCCTTACGTGCCCTCATGTGACGCTCCTGTTGTGTCCTCCGAGGGGGGCAGTGCCTTTCATCAAGCTCAGGACACCACTGGCCATCAGTGTTGTTTTGACACTCAGAGGAAAACAGTAATACTGCTAGGGAAAAGCCCCATGATGAGTTCTAAAATCTCTGCTTTAGGAGTGCTGAGATACGAGCAAGAGAAGACAGGTTCCTGCAAAGTACCAGTAGCAGTGCTTGCTTCCTCCTTGTCCCTGAGCTGGGATAGGGGAGCTCGCGGCCCTTACTGAGCCTTCAGTGGTTGAGGCAGTTCCCGAAATGAACACTTGCACTAGGATTTGTTTGCTACTCCATAAAATTTCTAAATCCAGACCACCTGTAAGATGCAGAATACATTTCTTCTTGGGGAAAGATGCACCAATTCTGTTGCAATAGGCAAATTTTTGGTTCATAGTAGACTATAACTGATGAAATTCTAAAGTTTTGGATATGTGGTTCTTCTTACTAGTATATGCTATTTTACTAGGTAGGAGTATTTTTGAATTTTATACACTATTCAAAATCTTTAAGTGGCTTAAATTTAACCTACCATAAACATCACTCATTTATTAGTTACCATTTAAAATTTGCAACAATCATTATTTTAAATAGTTGCCATTAATTTAAAATAGTCACTATTAATACATGGTGTTCAAAGAGATGCAACTTTCTGTATGTAAGAATTCTATTCCTAAACCGGAAATGGATGATTCTGTATACCTGGTGCTGGGCTCAACAGTGTTTCACTTGTCCCAAATTCCCATCTGCTGTTATGTCGAAGCCCACAGGGTCACTTGTCTCTGAGAAAATGAGGAGCTGAGCCCCTTCGTGCCTGAGTTGCTCTGGAAAGAATGCAGGTGGCAGAGCTGTGGAGGCTGTGACCTCTATCTCACAGTTTAGGGCAGTTCTCCTTTGGTCTTCCTGTGAGATCTGCACGCTTTGGCTCGGAGGGTTGTTTTCCATCCTCAGCATGTTCTCTCTTCACCTTGCAGAAGTTCTTTTCAGAATTCAGCAGTGTTCTCTCTGTAACGTGGGAGCTTACCGAGAAGGGGCAGGGCCTGCTGTGATGGTAGGCAGAGGCATCACCTGTGGGTTTTCCTGTCCTTTCCCGCCGTGCCATGGGATGAGAGCTGGGCGCTGGCATGTGCTGCTGCTGACCAGTCTGTCCAGCTGGCCGTAGTGACCAAGGGCGGAGACCAAGTCTGTTGTTCTGGTTTCTCTTTTTCACCAGGCAAAGCCCAGGTTGCTGTTTCCAGGATTTTCCCGACTTTCTCAAGTGGGAGAAACTGTTTGGCATCAAGTTCAGTTTGAATTCACCTTGATTTTTAGAGCTCTTCAGGATTTTTAATACTTTTTTTTCCCTGTCTTTTTTGCAAAAGAATTTCACTGTGCTATTCAGGCTAGCCTTACACTCACTATGTAGCCCAGGCTGGTCTCGAACTCACAGCAGTCTTCCTGCCTCAGCCTCCCAAGTGCTGGGATTACAGGTGCACCCCATCATGCCTGGTTAATAGTCTTTGTAGATACCTGGATGTCCCAAAATCTCTTGAAACAGCCTTTTAAATGATGACATTTTGCTGGGATGTGGCTCAGCAACATAAGTGCCTGCCTGGCAAGTACTAGGTCGTGAGTTCAATCCCCAGCACCAAAAAAAAAAAAAAAAAAAAAAAAAAAAAAAAAAGGCATTTTTATGTCTATTTCCATACCCTGAAAAATATCACTATGCCTTGTTTCCTTAGTTTGCTTCTTCATTAGTTAAAATTTTAGAATAACAAATATTACATAGTCGGTTATTTTGGCAGAACTTCATCTCACCACTGTGATTGTGAGGTCTGACTTTGTCTCTGGCAGCTGCAGCGTCAGGCAGTGAGAGCATCCAGCCTCCGCCCTTGGCCTATAAGAAGTGGGGGCTGCAGGATATCGACAGCATCGTGGACCACGCTAGTATTGGTGAGCCTTCCCTGTGCAGTTCCCTGGGGCTGTCCTGACACGGACTGGCAGGCTCTGTAACCTGTGGGCCTTCATTCTCTTGTGAGACTTTGAAGTTATGTCGGGCACAGGTCACCAGTCTCGTGTCTATATTTTTATTTTTTATTTTTTATTTTTATTTTATTTTTTTTTCATGTCTATAAGAATTAGCAATTTCATTAGATTTAATTCTGGCCTTAGTGGTGTTTCAGTTGCTCCTTGTCTGACGTGATTTTTCTGTGGATGATTTTTGTCCCTATAATGACCATATAAATTAATGCTTTTAAAACGTAACCCTTAAGTCAGCACACTGCTGAAACCAGATTTCCTGCAAGAAGCAGTGGAGGGCTTTGTGTCAGGCATCGGAATGTAGCAAGAAGACCTGGTCCCTGCTGCCTAGGGAGGCCAGTGTGAGCTGCTAGCTGAGGCCCCAGCCTGCGGGAGCAGAGGGACCCCAGCAGTGGGCACCTGGAAAAGAGGAGCTGGGCTCGGATTGGGTTGAAACAATGAAAAGGCGTTGCCAAGAAACGCGCGTGGAAGGCGTGTAGCCAGCTTGCCATAGGCACGTGTACCCGTGCTGGACCGGGCACGCGGAGGGCGCCAGCCTTAGGGCCCTGGCGTTCCACGGGGAGCTGCTGCTGTCAGAGGAGCATAGGCGCAGTGTTGTGGCGGGCCTAGAAGGCCACCAGCACGGCAGTGTCAGGACCCTGGCGAGGAGTAGTGGGCTTAAGCTTCGCTCGTCAAAGCCGGGGTGGAGAAGGAGGAAATGCTGGTGGAAAGCATGTCCACATTTTTTCTGACCATGCAGTATATATTGGTTGAAACTTAAAGTAGTAAACAGATATACAAAGAAAATTCCCTTAATCCTACTACCTTCGTGCTGAGATTTTCTGGTGTGTATGTATGTCGTGCAGTATGCACGTGGACATGTGAGTGACATGTGCTTGCCTGTGGGACTGTCACGCCCTCCTCCTCTGGGTGTGTCACGAAGAGCCTTGCACATCAGCTTTTGCAGATGTGCAACTCGTCAGCCAGGTCTCTAGTGGAGGCAGGCGGCACGCACGAGGTAATGTAGTGGAGAGAAGGCATGGCACGGGAGAGCCAGCAAAGAAGGTGCAGGGCCCAGCTTCCCAGCGCCCAGCTATTACCACGGCAGTGTCGAACTCAGGACCTGGGCTGGAGAGCCGGGGCGACCTCGGGTCCTGAGCCCGCCAGCTCTCAGGAGGGACTGGGAGAGCGACGTCCTGTTGTGGGAGTTCAGCCGATCGCAGCGCTGCACGGGGCCTGCCGTGAGGTCTTCTGGTCTGGAGTGAGCCCTCATCAGCAAACAAACATACAGTGTAGCTTCACTTTTCTGGAATGTAAAAATGCTGAATTTCAAAGTGTTGAGTTCAGCTCAGAGTATCTTCCCTGCTCTGGTAATTAAACTTTGGAACACTGAAACTGGCTGGGACCATGCTTGGATAGAAAGCTTTACTCTGTTCTTTTGTCCCCAGCCTACAGCTGTGTGCCTTTCTGCCAAGGCCTCACACGGTCGCTCAGCAGAGGGGTACCCGCCATGTCCCTGGGGTAGCACTGGTGCTGGAACACAGGGAAACCGAGCACTCCGAGAAGAGCTCGTAGGGGTATGCGGTGATGCAGCCAGGAAAGGGTGAAGGTTTGTGGAGGCTGGCCGGGGCCGTGGAGCAGGGAGAGGTGGAGAAATGAGATCTACCTGCACTTGATGAATCTGAAAATGGGAGAAAGGGAAGAACCGACACTTCCTTGATCTCTGAGCTTGAGCAGCGGAGCACATGAGGAAATGTGAGGACAGCTAGCTCTGAGGTGGGCAGGCGGAGGGTGAGGCGCTCCAGGGCGATGCCAGGCGAGAGCGTGTGTTCAGGTGGAGGCATCGGGGACAGACGGCAGATGCGGGTCTGCAGGTGTGGGCTCACCATGGAGGTCTGCTGGGCCAGCAGCATAAGGCTCTTTGGTGACTCCAGTATGAGCAGTTGAAGTGGAGGGCTGAACAGGAAGGCCGCACTGGACAGCTTCAGGTTTAGGAGTTTTTTCGCTCCCTACTTTCAAATCATGGAGAAACCTAGAAGTCAGCCCCCTCCAAAAAGGCCCCACCTGTGACTGCATGAGGCTTTGGCCGGACATGCAGACAACTGTAGCAGGGTGCATATGTATGCGTGCACATGTGTGGACACACGCCAGAGGGCAGGAGGCAGCCTGGGGTCTGTGAGCGGCTTGTGTCAGCTATATGTGTTGGTATACGATGTCCCCAGAAGGGAGCTACTGACGGGAGAGTGGAGACACAGGTTCATTAAGTGAAGGGAGCACGGAACGCGGCACCTTGCATCCCAAGTGCCTCTGGAGGCGGCCTAGAGAACCATTCCTGTGGCTTCCCAGAAGGGGACTCTGGCTGGGGATGCTATTTGAACATTTCTTGTGCCTTCTGAGTTCCTATTTGTCAAAAAAATTAATATTTAAATTTTGTCTTTATAATATTTTATAAGGCAGAGGAACTATAGATGACGATTGTCATATTTATGGATATTTTAATGTTGAGCTTGTAGCTTTAATCGTGACTGTGTCTCAACTAAAACTAAACAGCGTATTGAAGTCCAAGTGTGACCACCACAAGAGCGCCCTTCCGGGCTCCCGTCACGCGCTCTATGTCTTGCCTCACTAGGCATTATGACCCTGTGCCCGTTTGATCAGATGAAGACAGCCTCCAACATAGGTGGTTTCAACGCTGCCATCAAGCACAGCCCGCCCGCCATGTCGCAGTACATCACTGTGGGCGCCAACCCCTTCACCGGATTCTTCTACGCGCTGGAGGTAGGAGTGCCACGTGGTCACACGTGAGCCGCCCTGCTCAGCACAGGTGTGAACTCAGCACGGTTCAGCAGTTTGTATTTCTGCGTTTCAGTATGAGCAGTTGAAGTGGGCTAAAATCAGCCCTACTGAGGGGGCTTTTGGTAGTCTAGAAGTATTGAAGCCAGGGAAAAGCAGGCTCCTATTTCTGGGGCCTGCTGTGGTTGACAGCTGAGCGCCCTAGATGCCAGTGTGGCAGGCAGGGTGAATGATGTCAGCCCACGGGGACGTGGATAAGCCCCGAGCTGTGAGCCGGCTGCCCACAGCAGTTGATGTAAGTGGTGAAAATTGTTTCTAAAATAGGTGAAAGTTAGATGTTACTTTTGGCAGTTCTTATTTCTCACTTAAAAAAATCAGCCTTCTCAGAATTGACCAAACTGTCTTTTTATTTTTATAAAATATGTACTTTAAAAAAAAAAAAGGAAAGAGGGCCAGGGATTTAGCTCAGTGGCATGAGTGCCTGACTGGCAAGCACAGGGTCCCACATTCAATCCCTGGTACTGCAAAAAAAAAAAAAAAAAAGAAAGAAAAGAGACAGCTGTGTGTATGTAGGAAACATGTAGAATAATGTTGTGGGTTTTTGGGTTTTTTTGTTTGTTTGTTTGTTTGGTTTTTTGTTTGTTTGTTTTTGCAGAATCGGGGATTGAACTCAGGCCCTTGTGCTTGCCAGGGAAGTGCTTATTCCACTGAGCCATCTCTCTGGCCCCAATAATGTCATTTTAATGGGATAGTTCAGCATTTATTTTAATTAAATTACAGTTCAAAGAGAGTTGAAACTTGGATTGCACCGTGGTGACATAAAGGCCTTGCCATCTGAGAAGCTGCGCTGCTGGTGCGGCCTTCACAGCTTTGCCCACGTGCACCTTTGGGAAGGGGGTTCGCTTCCTCGTAAGCTTTGAAGGTTTTCTCTGCCGTGTCTTGTTTTTCAGGGGAGCACACAGCCGTTACTGTCTCATGTTGCTCTCGCAGTTGCCAGTAAACTCACTTCGGCTTTATTCAGTGCTGCCAGGTAATCCAGCGGAAGCTGGCTCACTTTGTGCTTTGGCTCAGCTGACGTCCCGAGCCCTGAACGTGAACCCTCGACACCCTAGTGATTTTCTGTTTCCTTCCTATTCAGTGGTTGGCTCGGTTGGAAAAGTAAGCACGAGGAAGAAGCTGTCCAGAAGCAAAAGCCGAAGGTGGAGCCAGCCACCCCGCTAGCCGTAAGGCAAGTCTGTCCCTCTGCGCCGCTCATAGTTCAGTGTGGTGAGGGCCATCCTCCATGGCCAGGGCAGCGACACACCCTCACTACTCCCAGCTGCTGCTCTGGGGGCTCAAGCAGGACTGCAGGTTCCAGGCGGCCTGAGCCACTTAGCAAGAGCCTGTCAGAGTGAAAAGTAAGAAGACAGAGATGCAGCCCAGGTGGTAGAGCACCCCTGAGTTCATCTCCAGTGCCACAAAGAAAGTAAAAAAAAAAAAAATGGGAGAAAGGAATACTGCTCCCATCACACTGAACACATGCCCTGCTTCGTTCTTCCATGTGGCCCGCTTTAGCGTAAGCGCCTGCCAGCGCTCTCGAGGGACTGGCCAAGGTGTAGCATGGCTAGAGAGTGCCTTCCTAGCATGTGTGAGGTCCGGGTTTGACCTCCTGGTGCTGCAAAATCAATAAATGAAAGTGCTGGAGAAGTAGCTTAGAGTGAGGCCCAGGCTCGTTCAGGGTCACCCAGCACCTCGCTCTCCCCCAGAAATGGGAAGAAGAAAGAAAGATCCAGAGCTCCTGGAAGCATTGGTGTGGAGCTCCTTCCCCCTCAGTGTGCACCCAGGAGGAGCGGTTCTTTCTGTTTGGTCACCGCCATCTCCCCTGGGTGCACACCCTAGTGGATCTCAGTCTGCTTCAGCAGAGAGCTGTAAACTTAGCCCAGGATGCCAGGAAGCTATGATGGCTGCTCGAGCTGTTCCGTTGCTCTGTAAAAAGCTGTTCTTCACTAAGCTGTGTGTATCTAAGCTCTCTGCAGAGCACTGGGTTGTGCCTGCTTGTTTCCTTCAGTGTTTTTAGAGTGAGAGGTGATCTCCGCTTAGTTTTGTTTTTAAGTCATTTCTTATTATCTAATATAAAGGACAAGTATGCCCCTTGTTTAAAAGATATTCTTGGGGCCAGCGAGATAGCTCAGTGATCCAAAGTGCCTGCTTAGGCAAATGCAGGGACCACGGTTCAATCCCTGACACCACATGCACCAGCTCCTCCCCTAAGTGGACTGAGCCAGCCACAAGATAGAAAGAAAGAAAGAAAGAAAGAAAGAAAGAAAGAAAGAAAGAAAGATAGATAGATAGATAGATAGATAGATAGATAGATAGATATTCTTTAGCAGTAGAAAACCTACTAATTGTTAATAAAATTCATTGAAGTTTATCTTCTGAGATTTATTTCATCTTATTTTAAAATGTTACACCTCACATTTCCTAAGCTCACTACAATAAAGAAATTAGCCAAATGGCCCTTTGTAGCACAAATTTGTGTAGAAAAATCTTCAGAGTCCTGGTCCTTTTACAGTTCTAAAAATGTTCATTGCTCCAGTTATCATGGAGCATACCTTTAGCTCTGGTGCTTGGAGGATCAAAGTTCAAGACCATCCTGCCCTGGAGGAGTCAAAGAAAAGCAGGGTGATTATAGGCTAATTGCACCCTGGCACAGCTACTTGGAGGGGGCTGTTCTTGCTTTAGGCAGATCAGTTGGTGTCAGCAATACCATCCATCCAAAAAAAGGAAAGACGAGGCACCAGAAAAAATAGGCAGGAGACACTGGTGTGGGAGCAGAGGGGTCTAAAGCCTCGTGGGCTGGGCAGGCGCTGTTCCCTATGACCTGCCTCTTAGCAAGTCATGACTGATACTCTCTAAGCATATGTAATTGTGTTTTGTGTTGAAAGCCTTTATGGGATTGTGTTTTTATTTTATGTATTCTATACTGTGAGTGTCACATGTAACTAGTAACTATTTATCCAGATAAGGTTCATATTTCTTTATGTAAAAACACATAGTCTTTTTTGATCATGCATTTCATTGTATCCATATTTCAAGACTGGAATATGATTTTTATTTTCTTCCAAATAACAGATTTGGGCTTCCAGATTCTAGACGCCATGGTGAAAGCATATGTTTATCCCCGTGTAACACGCTGGCAGCGGTGACAGATGATTTTGGCAGAGTCATTTTATTGGACGTAGCTAGAGGAATTGCTGTACGCATGTGGAAAGGTACCTTATGAAACTCCCAAAGAGCATTCACTGACTTGGCAGCCCAACTGGGCCAGCGCTGTCACCCTCCACTGGTTGGGAGGGTGACGTTCAGTCTTGTGCTCAGGACAGCAGCGCAGGGTGCAGCGGCCAGTTGCAAGGTCCTCTCCTTGCAGGCAGCACGGTTGGTGATTTCTGAGCTCAGTATGAGCTGCCCCTCAAGGCAGTTGTCCCTCTGAATCCAGAGTGCTAAGTCTGTCAGCTAAGGGTGCACAGGGTGGCCGTCTCTCATCTGACTTATGCCCAGATGTGTGGGTGAGTGGTACATTAGTTATGACATCGGCACCCGATTCTGCTTAGGGCAGCGTGTGGCATCCCTGTCCGGGTCCTCACAGCCGGCCGCCTCCTCTACATGCTGGGAGGGGAGTGGCTCGGTCCATCACTTCAGAGACAGCACTAATCCTTCCCACTTCGACATGTGCTGTAGCCAGGACTTGGTGACAAGGTCGCGCCCGGCTCTATGGACCTTAAAGATGCCTCAGCAAGCCAGGCTGCCAGCGCAGGTGAAGCAGAGTCTCTGAGGAGGGGGGGCACGCTGTTCCAGATTGCTCAGGGTAGCAGCACATGTGTGCCGCACACTGGCTGGAGCACAGCCACGGGTGGTCTTGTTCATGAGTGACGTGATGTAAATGACTCTGGGCTGGCTGGAGGCCACCGACCCTGCCAGAGAATCGAGAGATAGAGGAGCCTGCCTGTGCCTGTTGGACATCCGTGGAAACAGGTTTCAGAGTTATAGGCTGTGTTGACTGGGGGCTGTCGTCTCGGTGACGTCCAAGCTATGTTCCAGACTCATCTAGCCCAGGGACACCGCTGCCTCTGATCGCCTATCCGCATGTGCTACCCTCAGAGGGGCCATGAGGACAAAAGACAGTGTGGCCACTTCTCTCATGTCACACACAGAATGTCCTCAGTCACCAGCATGGCTTTGCTTCTATATTTGAGCCACCAAGGAGCTTCAGTGGCAGGAAACAAATCAAATCTTATATTTTAACTATCCCTTATTGTAAGGAAAAACTCGGTCATCTTCTAGATTGTCTAGAAGAAGGGAGTCTGAGAGGGAGGGACAGAGGGCCACTCAGCTCCTGTGATGGCCATAGCTGTGGTAGAGGGTCACTTGGCTCCCGTGATGGCCGTGGCTGTGGTAGAGGGCCACTGGGCTCCC